TATGGGGCTATGAATTATGTCTTCTGGCAATTGGAGAATTAATTTCGCTTCGATATCGTTGCATACATAAGGCAAGTTCGACAATTTGATTTTAGCTAGTTTAGGGTAAATGTTCTTGGGTCTATGAGACCTTGGAAAGCATCCCATGGGAAATACCGTCCTGTTAAGTAGAATGGTTCCTTCGCTTTTGATGCTAGTTATGAATTGCTCTGCTTCGGGGGGAGCAATAACTGTCAGAGTATGAAGTTTGCGGTCATCTTTCGTCACGGTTATTGTTTTTGAGATTGTCATCTTTAGGAGCAGGGAGTTAACACTGAAAATTTAGTCCCAAAATATTTTTGGTTTTTTATTCAAAACGTACATGTCTAAATCGAAATTATGACTCAGAAAATTCCAGACAAATTAATTTTAAAATGTTTAATTAATTTTAGAGGTTAAAAGTATTTTAATCTTAATACTAATTTAGAGGTCAACTGTGATTGGCTAATTTTTTATCATGATGGTTTAGAACCAAATTGTATGTGATTTATTGTAAATAACATTTGTAAATTGATGTTTTATCGTCATTTAGAGTAGTTTATTGTAAAAATCCTGACAATGCACATAGTTGCGAAAACGTTTGAAATTTACTTTTTAGCAAAAATTTCTTCAATTTTACTTGTAAATTCGTGATAAACCAAAAAGCGAAGAGCTTGAAATTCCAACTGTTTTCCCATTAAAGGGCCAGTATAAAAATTTTTAATGATTTTCATCAACGTAATGAGAATTTTTATAGTGTTTTTTTTTTATCGATACGTAAAAAATGGCCGATTTTTATTTGAGTTACCGAAATGTAGCAGCTATTGTAGCAGCTAGCTCCCTGTTCCACAGCATCAACACCCTTAACACAGGGGAAAAAAGCAATACGAGAGCCTTGTTACAGCAATTCCTGGCCTATCCCTTAATAACAACTTGCTGAACCAAGGAAAGAACCTCCGACGACTACTCGAAGACAGTCCACTGAAGGAGAAAAAAGTGGTTGTGTGGCACGACGTGGTGAACAACACCATTAGCAGCCACAGAACAAACAACTATCGCCCAGCTGGTGTCGAGGAGCTGACAAACTATTTGAAGACGAAGAAGCAGCAGATATTGGCGATCGTTTATTGCAGAAGGGAAGGAACGCCCGACTTGTTTAGTCAGCTTCTCGGCACAGGGGTGCTCATTATTCCAGCTACAAAACGACTACTCTCCAAGAGCAAGCAAAACAACCCGGAGCAGCTCAAGGAATATTTGAAGCTGCACCAGAGTGCTGATTTGGAGCTGAAATCTCTGCGATTGGTAGTGGCACACAAAGAAAGGCTGTCAGAGCTGATTGGCAATATCAGGGGCAAACAACAGAGACCATCACAGACAAGGAGGAAGGCGAAAGCAAGACGTGAGCAGAAGCTGAGGGCAGAGGAAGTGTCTGCGCTTCAAAGACAGGGGTGAGAAGAGTGTGATTTGTTTTGCTTTGTGCCTTGTGAGTTTCATTACTCGTGGCCTGCAAAACAATGACCACAGTACTTTTGCCTGCTGTTTGGCTCAGACAAATTTTGAAAAGGAAACTAACTTGGAAAATTGTGTTAGACTATTTAAAATTCTTTAAAAAAGTTCAAGTATCTGTACATAGACTGAAGTTTCTGAGAAAATGTCTGAAAAACGATCTAATACCGGACTTTTTGAAGTTTAGGGTCCCCGAGAACGGGGTTTTTTCGGACCAAGCTGTGCATAATTTTCAATTGGAACTACTAAGGACTGAAACTTCTAGGGCAAATGAGGATAGGAAAAGGTACGAGGAGATGCTAAGGAAAGCAAGATCACTGGTGCAAAAAGAAATTGACAAACAGTGGTGGGCATCCATTTTCCGATTCGTGAGGCGGCAAGTTGAGGCAAGCTTAAAGACAACATCAGAAAACCATAGAAAAAAGTTAGAAAAACTGTCCGAGAGACAAGATAAACCTCTTGGGGGGAGAAATGAGCGATCAGTTAGGGTACTTGATAATATTGAACTGCCTGAATGGGTATATGAAGTGCTATCAATGGGCCCCAAGCATCCAATTAGAGACAAATTTAACGAAACACATTTTTTGGCGGATATCAACATTTTCCTCTCACAATTGAAAAATCAAAAAACATCTGGTGAAACGTTATGTGAAATAGAAGCCGCGGCAAAGGCATATGCAAAAAACGTACGGCAAACCCCAAGAGACAAAGCCGTTGAAAAAACGAGGAAATATCTCAAAGATAATGGGTTGCTGGCTGTGCCTTTTGATAAGGGGGTTGGTTTTTGCATAATGAGGAAACAAACATATGAATCAAAGCTGGAATCCTTGTTGCAATCTGCTCAGTTTGTGAAAAAAGATGCAACCACTGATGAGGTGATACTGAAAATTGAGAAAGAACTTAACAAAGAGTTACTAGCCATGAACAAAAGAGACGAGATAAGTGATCAGTTATATTCTAAGATACGATCAACAGGGGGGCAACCCGCCCGTTTGTACGGTTTAGCTAAGGTACACAAGGATGAGACACCCCTACGACCTGTACTATCACTTCCCGGCAGCTCGTATGAGAATCTTAACAAAATGCTTGCGAAGTTTTTTGACAACATCGATGGAGCAAATATAGAAACCAATACTAAAGAGGCTAGAGAAAAAATAGAAAACATTGCTCTAGATCCGGATGAAACCATAATATCTCTTGATGTGAAAAGTTTGTACACCAACGTTCCCCTGTAGGAGGCAATTGAAATTGCTTTACAGAAGCTGTACAGCCAGGAGTCTCCTCCTGAAATTCAAAGAGCAACCATGAAAAGGCTTTTGAATATGGCGGTCAGCAAAGTATATTTCAAGTGTAATGATTCATGGTATGTACAAGTTGATGGTTTAGCAATGGGAGCGTCCCTCGCTGTAATTCTGGCAAACTTATGGCTGAAAGAATACGAATTTGCTCTACGACAACAAATACCGGTGGGAACGGGGGTACAGCAAATTAATGACGAAAACGGCTTGTGCCCATGTTGCAGCAGGAAAGTCACATATAGATCAAAGGGGGTTGAATGCGAGAGTTGCCGAAACTGGTATCATCTAAAATGCGGGAAAATATCCGATGACGTATACGCATCAATAACCGAGATAGTCTGGTACTGTGAAAGCTGCTGCCGAGCTAAGAACAAGGAGAAGGATACTCCCCAGGTGAAATTGTTCCTCAGGTATGTGGATGACATTGTTAGAACAGTCAGAGGGGAGCCGAGTTGTCTTCTCGATGCCGCCAATTCTCTTCATCCAAATTTGCAGTTCACTCTAGAGAAAACTAATTCGGAGGGGAATTTGCCGTTCCTGGATTTGAACATAAATATATCGCAGGATAGGCGTGTAACTTGCAGTTGGTATCAAAAACCAACAGATACAGGGACTATACTGAACTATAGAAGCTGCGCCCCAACTCAGTATAAGCGTAGTGTTATCCAAGGCACTGTACACAGGGTTTTTAGGAGTACATCTAGCTGGGAGCAATTTGATAAGGCTATGGAAACTAATAGGGCGCAATTGCTGACAAATCAGTACCCTGAAAATTGGTCCGCAAAGGTGGCTTCAGACGCCTTGTGCAAGATCATCGAGGGTAAAGGCAAGCCCCTGGATAGTGACAGGGGTTTGTCAGTTCAATCACCAAAGGATGAAAAGCCCCCAATGCTGATGGTGCAATATAGAGGTAACCAGAGCCAATATTTTGCTAACAGGTTACGAAAATTAACGAACGTTCAAGTGGTTTTCACCACAAGAAAACTACAATCATGTTTACCATCACTGAAGTCAGCATTTTCTAATGACCTCAAGTCAAGAGTGGTTTATAAACTGTCATGTAGTGGATGCACTTCCACCTATGTCGGACAAACTGTTCGACATTTGACCACTAGAATTGAGGAACATAGGAAAGCAGACTCACCGGTAGGCCTCCACCTTCAGCAATGCCAACTTGAGGGAAATAGCGCAGATCTTAGTTGGGAAATTATAGATAGGTCAAACAACCAAACAAAATTGCTAACACTAGAGGCAATACATATCAGGAAAGAGAAACCGGGCTTGAACACGCGCGATGAGTTTAGGAGCAGGGAGTTAACACTGAAAATTTAGTCCCAAAATATTTTTGGTTTTTTATTCAAAACGTACATGTCTAAATCGAAATTATGACTCAGAAACTTCCAGACAAATTAATTTTAAAATGTTTAATTAATTTTAGAGGTTAAAAGTATTTTAATCTTAATAGTAATTTAGAGGTCAACTGTGATTGGCTAATTTTTTATCATGATGGTTTAGAACCAAATTGTATGTGATTTATTGTAAATAACATTTGTAAATTGATGTTTTATCGTCATTTAGAGTAGTTTATTGTAAAAATCCTGACGATGCACATAGTTGCGAAAACGTTTGAAATTTACTTTTTAGCAAAAATTTCTTCATCTTCTGTTGCATTGTTGTGGGGAATTGCTTAAGTATATCGGAAGCACAACTTCGATATGCCTGCGCCAGATTTTCAGCTGACCTTACAATTTCTCTCGAGAATGGGGGGATGATTTTGATTATTTGGATTTGTTTTGTTTGTGTCGTCGATTTGTTTGCTGTTAGCGCATTTCTGAAATTTGTCTCCGTTTCAATCAGCACTTCGTGAGTAATTGGTAGCTGAGATTCCGTCAGTTGTTGTTGACTCATGACTTGGTTTTACTCAATGGGGGGCAAAAAAGCCTTCACCCGTAGGTATACTTGAAAAAAAAAATTAGATTTTTCTCTTTCAAAATGTAGAAATCAGAAGGCAAAAACGTCAACTATAATGCACATGCACGTCTGTATTTTTTCAAACCTTTCAAAAGTCAAAATTAATATTTTTTGAAGTTTTCTAATAACTTCAGTTCAATTCACGCATGTGTGGCATTTGCATGATAATTCGCAAAATTGGGGAATTTGGAGAAAGTAGCTGCCCATTTGATTCACAGACTTGACATTCAATTAGACTCGAGTAATGTTTAAATAAAACAATAGATTTAACCGATGATCCGAAACATTCAGAAGATGTTTGACTCGCCTTTGGCCATCGAAGTTGGGCTTCTAAAACTAGAGCGCTCAAAGATGTCGAAACTCAAAGATGATAAAAGCTTGTATGATTATTTGATTGTTAAAGTATCTTCGGAGCTTAAAGCGAAACAACTTCTCTTCAAAATTTTCTGTTGGTCTAGAGCTGTTGCCAAAAATCTAGACTATCGTTTGGTAATGGTTAAATATGGTGGCCTGAAGGTGGCATCCGAAATTGAGTTAAGTTCGAAGCTCTTCAAAGTAGACGATAAAGTTAAATTTGTAGTCCCCCCGATATCTTCCAAAAATAAGGTTTACTTAGACGCTGCACGTAATTTAGCGGCGTCTTGTGAAAAACCTGGAAGAAATGAGTCCGATGCTGAACGAACAATTCAAATCCAAAGCGATACTAGCAATGCTAGTAGAACTAGGACAGCAGATCTTGATAAGGATTTTCTGCAATCAGCCATGAAACAATTACTTTGGGAAAAGTTTATTTCGAGTTTGGATAACCAGAAAATTGAAAACGAGCCTTGTGTTAACAATATTGATTCCGAAAAATCAGTGCAATGCCGTGATCAGTACGACTTCGGTGATTTAATTGGAGTTTCATCAATTGAAAACAGCGAAGTAAATATTGAAAGTTCGAAAGTTTTATATCCAGAAACTGCATCTCAACCTTGCAGTCCCCATTCTGGAACTAGCTCGTCAACTTTATCAGTTGATGAAAATTCAAACAACAGTGTAGCGACAACTTGTCGACGAAAGTTGATAAATTTTGAAAAAATCCGTACCAGGAATCAAGGCAGAGTTGAAGACCCTCATATTCCTGAAAACGTACCTATCGCTGAGCTTGCCGATGACTCAGGAATTGAAATATCGTCTCAATGCGGCAACGTTTTTTGTAACATGGGTTGTGTTTGTGATACACTATTAACTGTTTTTGCTCGTGATGACAGCTGTGGTCTAAGTGAATGTGTATTTCATTGTTCTTGCACGCCTGTTTTTCTAAGTAGTGGTGGTGTTTCATCAGATGAAGCACCCGTTGTCGCATTTGTCGCTCAAAGACCGAAGAGAAATGTTCGTCCACCTTCTAAAATTCGCGATTTTGCAGTCGTAACAAATTTCAATAAACGACCAGGACCTCTATTGAACCATGAAGTAACAATCAAAAAGAAGCGAATGTCGCTGCTAGATCACGAGAAACTTACAAGCGACGGCAGTGATACTCCGGATGTTCTTCGTATGAAAAATAATTTACAGAAAATAATTGCTAAGAAAGATGCCGCATCCAAAAGAGAGCCCTTGTTTTCGAATTCTATCTTGCCAGCAAAAGAAGAGAAACGAGTCAAAACTACCTCTAAAGCGGAAAAAACTAGTGCGAAAATGGAAGAAACTGAGCCTGGAAAAAAGTTAAATGCGAAAATAAACAACGTTAAAAAGCAACCGAAGAATAGTGCGAAGAAAATCGACAAAGTTATCGAAACTTCCAACAGCCATTTACAAAATTGGTTGATTCGAAGACAGCTGTCCGACAAAAGTGGCATTGTTGCGTCGAAACGAATAAAAGCTCAGAAAATACTCGCTCAGGCTTCGCCGTTCGTTACCCCTGTTAAAAATCAGCCAATCTCCAATGATCAGACCAAAAAGTCTCCCAGTAAAGCAAGACAAAGTCTCAGATTTGAGAATAAAAGACAAGGAATTCGAAATAACCGATCAACTGCTATTCTACGATCAAATAAAGCTGTCGCAAAACAACCGTTCAAGGGTACTAAAAAGCATCCCGGAAAAACCAAAACCCGAAGTACCACAAAGCCGAAAATGACTCCTCAGACCAAGGAGAAGTCTGAACTTAAAGTAGCACAACCTCTAAAGCGTCGAAAAATCGAGAAAATGGTGAAAAATTTATCAGATGAGGAAGATCATGTCGACTTATTTTTGGACGCTTCTGACGAAGAAGACGATAACCTGCCTTTACTTTATAGCAAAACTCTCTCGCAGTTTTCATCAAGCAGCATGCCATCAGAAGATGATAGTGTTATTAAACGGCCAGAAAATGAAAACGAATTTCTCGATAAAAAATTGAGTGCTTCTGCAGCGCCTGAAGTTAAAGCTGTTGATAAAAGACCACGTGAAAGCTCGAAATCAGAAGAATCGTCGAACTCCCGTTCCGATCATTTCTGTGATAAATTACATAATATGGCGATGCGATGCGACAGCTTAGTCAAAGCTCCCGAAATGTTTATAAAACCCACAGCAAATCAAACTTCACAGTTTGCTGAAATATATACAAATTCAAGAAGCACGATAGAAAGTAAAAATTTGAACGAATACAGTGAAAATCCGATTAGAAATGACGGTATTAATTTTCCAAATGAGGAAACAGTAAGCGACAGTTTCGAGAAAAAGTACCCTTTCATGGCAAGAGCCCCCCCGCAGACAACGGAAGAACGAATGAAATGCGCTCGTGTTGATTCGACTAATTTTCTTCTCACTTGTGCTAGATGCAGACCTGTGAGCGAGCGCTATTTTATGAAGAACGCCATTCGAGCTCAACAAAATGAAATTTTGATGAAGTGGCGTGAGAAAGTTACCGATAATAATGCTAATGCTTCTATGAACTGCGTGTTAGATTCTGACAGCGAGTCGAATCCAGGTGATACTTTGGGCCAGTTTGACTCTTTGAGTGAAGAGTCTAAAAGCTCACTTGCCGAGTTCAAATCCACGTATGTTTATCTAAACGGAAACCGAGTCGAAATTTTTAGCAATTGCAACTGGAGTTCGAAAAAACTGAAAATTTACGAAACGGTTTTGAAACAAATGGATGACCCCAAATTACACAAATGTCGCTTTGGTGTGTTTTGGGTCGAAATTGTGGATAATTTGCAGAAAGGCAGACGCGGGAAATTGAGACACGATTTCGATAATATTCGTAAAACTGTGGTTATTAGAATGAAATCGGCTGTCGAAGCATCAAGTAACTACAACATTGACGAAAGTAATAGCGCAGAAACTAGTAAAAATAGTGAACACAATGCTAATGTCCTGCCTTTTAGTCAAAAATCAGAAGAAATCTACCGTATGGCGAGCATATCGAATAACCAGAAGTATGTAAAATTGTCGCCAAAAGACTTCTTGAATACTGACCAGTCGTTGAAAGCAGACAAACGATTGACAAAGATGGAATGCACCGAAACTGCAACTTACACACCAGAAGCAAAAAAGGAAAATACAGATGAAAAAATGATAAGTCAACAAGTAGAGAACAACAAGATTTCTTCAGATTCAAACAGTGATGTACCCAAACCACGGAAGCTAATTGTTCTTTCAAAAAAGGACGATTTTGCTAAAATTGCTAGAAAACAGAGCTCAATTCCAGTTGGTTTGAGCAACCAAGATTTGATTAAAATGCAGAAAGATAGTATGGTTAGTGCGCTTGATCAATCTATGGCATGTGACGAAACTTTTGACCATAGTGGGTACACTTTCGGAGGGGTTCATCCTCAAGTCAGCTCATCGTCGGGAAAAAGTTTGCAAACAACATTAGGCGAAACAGCAAATTTGGTTTCAATAGAGAAATCTTCAAAATCGATATCCAATTCTAGAGTTGCGGCTCGTGAAAAAGTAGAGAAGTCGGGAAAGCTTCGTCACCAAGAATGGCCCAATTACAAAATAGCTGAGGAATCGTTACCTGCTCAAAAACCGGCTGTTGGTAAAGCAGTTACACTGAGTGAAGTTGCCAGAGCTATTTCTCAGAAATGGCGTGAACAAAAAACTTCGCGAGAAGAGTACAACCAAGCAGTGATTAGAAGTCATTTTCTCAAGTCGAAAATGCACGCCAGTTCGCTTCAAAGAATGAAACCTTCTGAATTTGCCCAAAAATCAAAAGCATCGACCAAATTGGATGCTGATGAGGATGTAATGGCTGTTGCCCAGAAGCCGATAGTAATCTACAGAAACATATCTGGGGCTACTAGCACAAGCAGTGTTTTACATGGTAAGTTTAAATTTCAGCTGATATGTACACCAGCAAACGCTTTTGCTAATTTACGAGATCACCTTTTTCAAGTCTAAGTCGCACATTTTTGTGAGTGTTATTGCAGCTTCTGCATACAAATTAAAACTTAAATTACAATCAGAGCTGATGAGGCTAATACAGATTATTTATAGCGACTTTCGAAAAAAGTGACGGAATATTTGTGTTCGTTCTATTTTTTTATGCAGACAAATTTCGAATCGTTAACTTAACGTTTGTTGCAGAGTTTGTGATACCATCTGAGTCATGAGATCAAACGTTAAATCGAGCTATCTGTTATTTTTTTTCTTACTTGAAGAGAATGTATCATTTTGTTCTTAAACATGGCGTGTGGGGTACACTTTTCTAAAGAAATCTAAAAAAATCAATTTTTAATTTTTCTACTTGAAGTTTTTTCTATCTTTTTTTATCATTTTAACTTAACCAAAAATTAAAATTGTTGGTCAAAAGTGAAATTGAATAATGAAAGCATGCGGTTCACTTAAGTCCACTGGAACTGTCTGTGATAGTTTTCCTTTTGTAATTGAAGTGCAACTTGGCCTCTGTGTTTCAATTTCTTTTTAATAGCTGGTCTGAGAACATCACGCTGGATTTCAGTTATTTATTGATTTTAAGCCCCAATAAGTATAAAAGCATCTTAAATAAATTCCAACTTTTGTTGAGTTAAAAAATTTAAATAATCTTAAGCGATGTGAATTTTTATCTATATAGGCCATGTGTTGGATATGTTTGATTGATTTTAGTCTGAAAAAAATGAGCTCTAATGATACAATACTGCTCATATCAGTTTAAAGCCCTGATTTTTTCGAATTTTCCCATCAAATTAGACGGGTTAAAATACCAGTTTTTCAGAAACTATTTTTTAAATAATTAGTTTAAAAAATTGATTTCCCCACACGCTAGTTAAAATACCAAGTGATGTAATTAGCGTCGAACAATGCATCGTATGTTCAAAATAGCTTGTCCAAATCAAATTGGATCGGTTTTTGAGCCAGATGCTCATGTGTAAACCGCCGCTCATTCGTTATTAGTACGAAATATATCGCGCGTCAATTGTCTCAAATTGGCATTTTTCAAACAACCATAACTTTAAGGAAAATTATTAAAAGAAGGATAATTTTTCAGTTTTGTGTAATTCAATTACCCAAACTGAAAAAAAACCACTGAAGTTTAGCGAAAATGAAAGTTTAAAGAAGGTTTGGAAACTGTTGAAAATGTTTTCTCATTTTTGATAGCTTGAAATTAAATAATTGCGTTCGGAACGTTCCAGTTGCAGATCAACTGGCTGTTCTAACAATACTTTATAATTCAATCCTTAGCTGAAAATTGAAACATCTTGTGCTGTTTATGAGAATTTTCAGTACTGAAAACAACTCTTAGTTTTTGATTGAATGTTTTATTGATCCGACTTTCGGAGAAAGTCACTGAATGTCTGTGTTCAGGGTGGTTTTTTCTCCAGACAAATTTCGACTTAAAAACTAGCAATTTTAACGGGATTTTCTTATATCAATCGAAAGGCATTGTTGTCCTGAGCTCAAACTTAAAAAGGCGGTTCACCTCCAATCAGTTTTCGTAAAATAATGGAGATTTGAAGGCTGCCAATTTGGGACAAGTAAAGCGCTATTAACGCGTAAGGTAGATTTAATCCATGTTAAAAATCTTTCCAAACTGAATTTAGACATTTTTTCCCTGAAAATGTCATAAACTTTTTAAAACAAACGTTACTCCATCGACCTTAGAAAACCAGTCGGAACATTGAGGGATTTGCCCTGATACGAGCAGTGTCTTGTGATGGTTTCTTGAACAAAGTTTTCTATTTTAATTCGGCTAGATACTTTCAGATTGCCAAAATCATATATCAAAATTGAGGTCTTAGTCAAATGTGAAGAAAATGACTTGAAGCTTCGTTTGTTTTCTAGCGCTTTATTGAAAAAAAAAGAATTGTTAAGTTTATTTTGCACGAAAACTACGATTTTGTTAAAGTTTGCATTATTTCCTTTGTTTAAGGGAAGGCATTCTTCAATCAAGTAGCAAAAATATAAAAGTCACAAAAAACTTGGTCGACTTCTAATTTCGAAAATAGAATTTAGTTATCAGATTTCCCTGCAGAATAAAAATTATATCTATTGATTCAGTTTTCTCAAATTGGGTTAATTTTATTTAAAAAGCCCAATCATAATTTGGTCGTGAAATTCAAAGAGCTTTGAAGGCCTTATACATGTTTTTTAAAAGTCGAAATTTAAGTTTTTTTCAGAAAACAAATCAGTTTTTCTTTCTGTTTCCTTCCGTTCATTACTCTTCTCTAACTGTCGGTTGGCTATGTTTTTGGAGTTTTGCTTCCTCAGATCTAGACGGACTTTTTCAGATCAGAAGAAGACAGTGATCGATTTACTCAGTGGACAGACATCTGTGACTAGCACAGGTAAATAAATAATTGTTGTTAGTAATCAGTTAGATTTTGTGATTATGTCTGCATTGATTTCTTGCTCCATAGCAAGTTCTCCTTGACCATCAATCCCTTATTCGAAACGAAACCGAAGACCATACCTAAACTTTACCTTAAATTGCCTTCAATTATGTTGCTGTGAAATTTAGGTCTGTTTCTTTTTCAGATCCGAAGCATTAGGAAGTTCATCTCCGAAAAAATTGCTTCGAAATTAATCAATTCAAAACAAGAAAAACGAAAACAGGTTCTATCGAATGAGCGTTACCTTGCACTCGATTCAGAATTGGCAGGAAATTTGCGGAAAACATTGACTGAAACATATGCTATTTGATTTTGCTAACAAGCGTAATTTTAAGCCTATCGTCAAAACTGTTTGCGTAGAAGTTCTGATCTTAGTTGAAATATGTCGATTAAATGAAAGAATTGAAAGTTAATTTAAAACAGTCATCAGATTAGTCTAATCGGTGCTTAAATGGCAGACTAATTTGCTTTGCTTTGGTTTTCTATCATTTCAAAAACATTTTGAAAAAAAAAAATGGATGAAAAATGATTAGTTGCCATTTCGCGATGTAAAATTGTGTTGTGAAGTCCCATAAAATTCAAGTTTAAAATTAATTTGATTTATTACCGGAATAGTCCATCCATTTATAGCTGGTCTAATTTATACAGTACATTGTCTGTGTCGTGTTAAATAAGCACTTGTTTCATAAAAACATTTATATAAAAACCTTGTTTTTCAAATAACTCCGCATATGACAGTGTCGAATTTACAGTTTCCTTTGTCGCCGTAATTTAAGTAGCGTTTAGGGAAGTCAACAATTTATAGGGCTAATATTTCCAGTTTTCATATCAACCAGAAAGTTTTGGAATCGATAATTGCGTTATGTACCGGATCTACACTACCAATATTTAGCGATTTGATTAATGAAATTAAATTTACCTCAAGCGTTTGAAGCCCAAATCAAAGCACCTGATTAGTGATCATAAGAAACTGCAAAGTTTTAAAAATATTTTGAATAATTTTTTGTTTAAATCGGCGTCGATTGAGATAGTGTTTTGAAGTTCCAGTTGCTTAAACGCTTGCCATGCCTTAAGTAGCTTCGACAGTTAGTGGAAAAGCGGTTTGGCATTTTTTCATAATAGTGGTTAATTGTTACCATTTACGGCGCGGCGCGTATTTGTGCAGATAAGTTTTTGCAGACAAGCAACGAAACGGTCCCATTTCAATTCACTTGCAATACCATGCTATATTTTTCAGAGAACAAAAATTTCATTTCTGAGATAAGAAAATTCATAATGGAGATTTTTTTGTGTACTTGGTATCTCAGGAAAATCACAAAAGTTTTTGTTTGGTTCTCTTATGATGGCAATAATAATGATAATGACTGTAACCAAAAGTTTGGTTATCAGTTGTTTATCGAATACCAGATTCCAAAACACGCATTTGAGTTGCCTAGTTTTAGTTTTCTGATTCCAGCTGCATTAATCGTATATGAGAAACTTAAAAAACTCTAGAAATTTGAGTCAACCAGAGAAATAAAAAAAGTTATTTTTTTACTGAGACTATCTTTAATGTATTTAAGAATTTGTTAAGCCTGGATAAAGGGTTAACGATTAAGATTTGGCGATTAAAAGAGTGGTCGATTTAATCACTATGCTAAACAGCATGATGAATAGAGAATCATTTTACATTAAATGAATAGTAAATAAAAAATTCTTGAAACTTGAGTCAACCAGAGAAATAAACAAACAAAAAAAAACATTTTGTTTTTTCGAGTGAAAATAAAATTACTTTCGCTTCAATTACATTCGAGTTATTCGAGAAATCCAAAATTAGCAAATAATGGTTCAGAGAAACACTGGATTGCTCAAAATTGAAGCACGGTTTCAGAAAAAAACTTCACGAAATTTAGGAAAAAAAAGGATTATTGAATGCTTCATTAAAAAGCTCTTAAAAATAAAAAAATAGCAAATCTCTGTTGTTTTCCTATGGCTTAGATTGTTTTCGTTCTGTCTGATTAAAACGACGTTAAGGAAAGCCTGTGAAGTTCTTATTTTGCCTTGTTAAAAACCCTTCAAGGCCTGATTCGGATTCTAAAGGAAATTCACTGCAAGCATCTCAGTAACCAGGAATTTTGGTGTCGAAGTTTTCAGTGTTTTGCGACTAATTCAAAAAATCAGGTGTGAGATCGAACTCACCATTTGATACTACTCCAATTTTTGCATGATTTCAACTATGTATACTTTTGTTTTCAGTTGACCTTAAAAATTTAAAAAACAAATGATTATTAGTAAATTCTCAAGATCCCTAAAAATGTTCTTTTTTTATCTGGAAGATCAAAGATTTTGCTATTTCAGTATTTAAAATACCGCCTATGTTTTATTGAACAGTTTTTTGAGGTTTCGTTCAGTTCAAAATTTGTTTAGGTTCTCCATGAAGTTCATCTCTTAGTCCATTTCTTACGAGCAAAAACAAAATTCAAAACCAATCTGTTCAAAACATGAAAAACAGACATTCATTGAATCGTCAGAAACTCGTTATTTTGTGTCTTTTCAAAGCGTATACAAAAACAAACAAATCCAACTTATATGAAGCGAACGTTTTGGGGCTATTATGTTGTTAACCGTTGCAGAAAAAAATCTTTTTGCGTTTTAAATAGCGTAGAGAGATAAAATGAAAAAATCTGAAATACAACTCAAATTTTTTCCAATACTTTATTAAGTTTTTTAATCAAAAGATTTTAGTTATTGTCAAAGGCAGCCGGAGTTTAGCACTAACAAGAGCAGTCCAGTTCATTCTTAGTTTTTTTTTCAAATTCAAATAAGACAATTTGGCTCTTCAAAACAAAAACTAATATGCCCTATTGGAAATTTTTTTCTCAAAGTGGTTGATTGAGATGGGTTCCTGTTTCATAAAAGAGATTTTCAGTTTCAGCGTTTACTTTTGATATTCTCAATGTATTGATATTGATGTTTTAACTTTGATTATTTTTTCAAAAAGTTGGTCAATCGTTTTATTGAAATTGAAATTATATTGTGGAGCTATTTTTTCTTCAAAACTAGTTGAAAGCTTTTAAAAAAATTAATTAAAAAAATTTCCGGAACTTGAACTCATTTTTTCATAAACAAAGAAGTTCAAAACTTCTCTTCGCAATTTTTGTCTAATCTACCAAGTTTTTTGCAGCCATACATTGCCTCAATATAGCAACAAAACTTTCCAGGAAAAAATTTCTGATTTCAAATTTTTTTGAATGTTTTTCTTGTACCAATTCCTGCTTCTTGTTTTATCATTGAGTCATTGTGAATAGTATACACTAGAATATAAAAAACACTACTGATATTAAATCTCTACTACCGAATTGTTTTTCCTACTGATATCAACTTGATGTTGACAGGTTTTTATGAGGTATGACAATTTGAGGCTCAATATTGTCCCCATTCTTTGTTAAATCCTCGATGATTTTAGTTTTATTTGTGAAAGCATGTTACTTGTAATTGAGTATAAAATATTTTGAGTTTTTTTTAACCTAAGCAACTTGCTGGATTTTTGGTGGACCCAGAGAACTAGTGGTAGAGGTTCTCATTTGATCTTGAGAAATCAGAGTTAGTAACTTTTAAATTTTTTGAATTCAATTTATAAAACACAACTTTGTGTTCAAATGGTTTTAAGTTTTGTTTTATCGGTTTAGTTTTTTTTTTTCAAATGATATAAGAGCTTCAAGTAATACTGCTAAACAGCTCAAAAACTTGTTACGTTCGTTTTTTGTTTTTGCCTCAACTGGGTGTCTACCTGAATATTTACGACCTATTAGCTGTATTAATGGATTAGAAACTGTGATGGTTGTTTTCCTCAATTAATTTTAAGAAAATGATATTTTTTTGACTAAAAAAGTTTTTTTTATTGTAAATGTTTTGGTCTCATTTTTATTCACTTGCAATACTCTGCTATAATTTTTCAGAGAACTTCTGATTTTGGAAAAATCGTGGTTGAGTTTTTTGTGTATCTGGTATCTTAAGACTTCTGTTCTGTTCTCTTTTGATGGTGATGATAATGATAATGACTTAACCAAAAAAATGATTATCAGTAGTTGATCGAATATCAGTTGTTGATCGAATATCAGTTGCCAAAACACGCATTTGAGCTGCCTAGTTTAATTTCTCTGATTTGATTCGTACTGCATTTAAACAATTTTTGAGAACTTGTTAAGCCTAGTTAAAGGATTACCAATTAAAAAATTGGCCCTTTTAATTACTATGCTAACACACTTGAGTATCATTTTACGTTAGTTAAACAGTAAATAAAATTCTTGAAAACTTGAGTCAACCAGAGAAATAAACAAGAAAAAACTAATTATTTTTTCCTTCAAAACTAAAGTTACTTTAGCTTCAATTGCTTTCGAGTATTGAGATAAAATCAAAATTGTCAAAAAAAGGTTCAGAGAAAATATGAATTGCTCAACATTGAAGATTGGTTTCAGAACAAAAATCGTGAAAGTTGTAGACAAAAATGGATTTCTGAATGCTTCAGTAAAAAAGTTACTAAAAAAATGATCAAAAAAACACGTGTTTTTCTATAGCCCAGATTGTTTTTTCGTTCTGTCTGATTAAAACTACCATAAAATATTCCTCTGATGATCAAATTTTGTATCATTAAAAGCCCTTCAAGACGTATTTCGGATTCCAAAAGCAATTCTTTTACAACCATCTCAATTATGAGAATAATTGGTCTCGAGTCAGTTTTTTACATTAATTTAAGAAACCAGAAAGTGAGTGACCGAACTCGCAATTTTATACTACTCCAGTTTTCATATTATTTCAGTTTTTTTTTCAGTTTTTTCACCTATTTCATTTGAACATACTGAAAAAAAAATTAAAATTAAGTGAAATTTAGCAAATCTTCAAGATCCTTAAAAATATTTCAATTGTAGCTGGAATATCAAAATTTTTTAAATTTCAGCAATCAAAATACTTCCTACATTTTATTGCAAATTTTATTGATTTTTCTTATAGATTCAATTTTTTTAGGTTCCCTAAGAACTTCAACTCTCAGTTCATTTGTTAAGACCTAAAAAAAATCTTTCAAAAGCAATCAGTTCAAAACAAGAAAAACAAACACATTCGTTGAAATGTAAGAAAGTCTCGCATTCACATAAACTTTGCGCAAAAAAACTCTGGCAGAAATTTTGAGCAGTTAAGCTGATTCAAACACCTGCCATGAGTTTGCTCACATGCTTGACATTGCTTCATTTTGCTTATATGTAACCTATTTCTGACTTTACTTGTTCTATTTGTCAAATTGAAAACACAATTGAATTTTCGTTTAATTTATTCAACAGATTAGCTTAATTGATACTTAAAAGTGTTAACTTGCTTCTTTAAATTGTTTAAAAATCCATGAAAATGAATAATTGCCATTTTGTGATGTTAAATTGTGAAGTCGCCTAAGTCTTAATTTGAAAATTATTTTCCATTTTGACCACTCAGTTATAACTGGTCTAAATGGTGTGTTACAATAACTGTATTGTCTTAAATGAGCAATTGTTTTATCTCATTAAGAGTATTAGTGTGAATTTTGTTTTGCAATGTTGATATAAAGCTTCTTTTTTGCCGCTTCAACTTAAGTAGCGTTTACTGAAACCAGATTCATTACTTACCAGCTTTAATTATTAGCACGTTTAATACTATGAGGC